ACACGCACATATGTTAATGTGGTATTAGCCACTTCTCTGCTTTTCAGGGTCACTATAATCAGTTTTAATTTTCTTTACAGATGTTTCTATACTTTGAAGATCACGGACTAGTGACATGCTCTGCTGATCATCTCATTATTTTGTGGAAAAATGGAGAGCGAGAATCTGGATTGCGCAGTTTAAGATTATTTCAAAAATTAGAGGAGAATGGTGACTTATACCTTGCTGTCTAGTTTAAGGAATTAAAAATACACATGCATGAACCTTGAACATCAAATATCGGGTACTACTTTGAAAACCATTAATATATTGATCACTTAAATTGGTAATTTTTTTGGTCAGTCCATAAAATTCTACATATTTAAAGTTTTTGTGGACCTACCAACCAGGAACATGTTGCTTCTCAGGTCCTAGTATATCCTCCAAAGAATATACCACAAGTTTTCCATTTGACTTTCAGCTGCTGTTGAAGTGGTGAGTGCTGTGTTTTGAGCTTATTTTGAACCTAGACCCTTGTGAAAGGTACAAATAGAGGTAATAGTTAAGTTATGGCATTTATTAGAAGTTTTATTATTTGGCTTCCTTTAGAATTATTGTGAAGTTTAAAAATAGCCTTTCTCCTGCAAATTTTCCTGGTCTTATAGTAACTGTTAGTGTTCTATATAGCACAAACTTGAATCTCTCAGCCAAAAAAATGAACATATGTACTGATAATGTATGGCAAGTTTTTTTTGGATATCAATTTGTTTAGATAATTTAAAAATGTTTTTTAGTTCTAGCTACTAAAACCTATATGAACTCAAATGGATAGGAATCTTATGAGGGTGTATTTTTCCCAGTGCAAAGTGGCTTGAACAGCCATGGGCTAAATTGGTACTAGAACAACAACTGCCCCTCATGTACACCAAGGATGAGCTCTAGATCATTTGAGAGGCACAGTGTTTCCAGAGTCAGAGACTGCAGCTGAGCGCAACTGCCCCATCTGACCACTGACTCAAATACGAATTGCTTGAGACAGACTTCATTTATGTAGTTCTTTGCAGTGCCCATTGAGACACTATAACCAGCCTTGTAACAATATGTTTTCTCCTTTTGGTGCTAAAAAATAAAAAAATGAGAAAGTAAAGTAGTCTACACATTAAAGATTGAAATTCTTAAACTACTGATTAAGAAAGGGCAATGTGACTGATGTTAGCAGACTGACCCTTCTTAGGGAAAACTTTCTACAGATTTATGTGTTCATTATACAAATAACCCTAAAGGGAATCTTCAGAGTTCTTTTTACTAGTTTTAGCTTTGACAGTTGCTTCCACAACTACCTACAGTCAAAGACTGGAAGAGTTAAGGTCATCTAGGTAGACCAATGGCATAATGTTATAAATGAGGAAACTGAAGCCCAATGCGGTAAGGCCTTGCAATTAACTCTGTAGTGCCCAGTATCACTGAGCAGCTCTAAAAACAGGAATTGAAGACTGAATGAGAGAGGCTTATATGACTACTTTAAATCCAAATAACATTGAGTCATGAAAAGTTTTATGGAGAAATATTAAAACTTAAGCTACCTCCATTACAAAAGACTTTCTCCCATTACTCACATGCTTTTTCCTTTAGAAAATCTGTATTAGCCCATACATTTGTAAAGTTGTTTTCTTAAGTTGTATGACACACGGGAGTCATAGATTTTTAACTGTTTTACTTCCTAGCCTGTTCTAGGCTAGTGTTTTGTGATAGTAATCTATTCAAATGGAGTGGTAGAAATCACATCAATTTTGGAAGCAAATGGTACCATAAGTACCACAGCAAATTCCTTCCATCATTATACAGGCATACCTCAGAGATATTACAGGTTAAATTTCAGACCACATCAAAAAAGCAAGTATTGCAAATAGAGTGAGTCACATCTAGTTTTTGGTTTCCCGGTGCCTATAAAACTTTTGTTTATACTGCAGTCTTAAATTTCTAAAAAATGTACATACCTTAAGAATACTTTATTGCTAAAAAATGCTATCTGAGCCTTCAGTGAGTCATAATCTTTTTGCTGGTGGAGGGTCTTGACTAAGGTGGTTGCTGAAGGTTGGGGTGGCTGTGGCAGTTCCTTAAAATAAGACAGCAATGAAGTTTTCCAAATCAATTGACTTCCTTTCACAAAGGTACCTCTGTAACATGTAATACTTTCTAATAGCATTTTACCCACCAATAGAACTTCTTTCAAAATTTAGAGTCTGTCATCTCAAACCCTGATGCTCCTTTATCAACTAAGTTTATAGAATATTCTAAATCCTTTGTTGTCATTTCAACGGTGTTTAACAGCACCTTCACTGTGGAAATGACTGTCTCCAGAAACTACTTTCTATACACATTCTTAAGCAACTTCTCATCTATTACCTTCAGGCTCCACTTCTTCCAGACACCTTTTAATATTGAAATTTTGACCACCTCCCATGAATCAGAATGTTCTTAGCGGCATCTAGAATGATAAATGCTTCCCAGGAGGTTTTCAGTTGACTTTGGCCAGACCCATCAGAGGAATCACTAGTTAGGGCAGCTATGGCTTTATGAAATGTATTTCTTAAATAAGACTTAAAAGTCAAAGTGACTCCTTGACCCATGGACTGCAGCATAGATGTTGTGGTAGCAGGCATGCAGACAACAACACGGACCTCCTTGTACATCTCCATCAGAATTCTTAGGTACCAGGTACATTGTCAATGAGCAGTAATATTTGGAAAGAAATTTGAGTTCTCAACCATAGGTTTAAATATTCAGTAAATCATGCTATAAACAGATGTGCTGTCATCCAGGCTTTGTTATTCCACTTCTAGAGCATGGGCAGAGTAGATTTAACATAATTCTTAAGGACCTTAAGATTTTTTGACTGGTAAATAAACTCTTGACTTCAGCTTAAAGGCACCAGCTACATTCGCAGGCATTGAACTTCTCCCTAGCTACGAAAGTCCTAGATGACATCTTCTTCTAATAGAAGGCCATTTCATCTTCACAAACTCAGTTGTTCAGTGTAGTCACCTTCAGTGATCTTAGCTAGATCATCTGGATAACGGCTTGCTGTTTCCCCTTGCACTTTGATGTTAATGGAGATAGCTTCATGAACCAACCTCTGCTTGCTTCCAACGTTTCTTCTGTAGCTTCCTCACCTCTCAGTCTTCAAAGAATTGAAGAATTAGGCTTTAGCTTAAGAGAATGTTGTGGCTGGTTTAGTCTTGTATATAGACCACTCAGACTTTCTCCATCTCAGTAATAAGGCTGTTTCACTTTCTTGTTTGCACGTTCACTGGAGTAACACTTTCAAGAACTCTTCCTTTGGCATGGCTTTTTGACCTGCCTGGGCTTTCAGCATGCCTTCTTCAACTAAGCTTAATTATCTGTAGCTTTCGATTTACAGTGAGAGGCGTGACTCTTACTTGCACATTTAGAGGCTACTGTAAGTTATTAATTGGCTTAATTTCAATATTGTTGTATCTCAGGGAATAGGGAGGTCCAAGAAGAGGGAGAGATTGGAAACCGCTTGTTGGTGGAACAGTTAGAATATACACAAGATTTATCGATTAAGTTCACTGTCTTATATGGGCATGGTTTGCAGTACCCTAAAACAATTACAGTAATAACATCACTGATCACCATGACAGATACAAGAATAAAAACATTTGAAATACTGTAAAAATTACCAAAATGTGACACTTACACAAAGTGAGCCCCTGTTGTGAAAATGCCCCAATAGACTTACTCAATGCAGGGTGGCCACAAGCCCTTAATTTGTAGAAATGACAGTATCTTTGAAGCACAATGAAACAGAATGCAATAAAATGAGGTATACTTGTATTCTAATTTTCTGCCATGAAAAACTGTCTAGAGGGCAGTCTCCAGCCCTAGGGACTAGATTGCTTTTGTTTTCATGCATGCCCTAAAGTCAGAAAGATCGGGGATAACAGTATGATGGGAAATTCTCGTAGGGTCTCAAACCTGATGGTGTTCAGTAGTTGCAGGTAGACTGCTCCTAAAAGTTGGACTTTCGATTTAGAATAATGGGTCAATGTATATTATGTACATTTTCTCCATCTCCTGCGTTTAGCTTTCAACACTTAAGATACTTGTAACAGCAGAAGTAACACTACATAGTGTTACAATGTGTACAAATGCCTTGTCATTTTTATTTAAATATATTTATTACCTCAGTCTCTGGCTATATTCACAGAGCACAAGGGCACAGGATCATCCCTTCTGTTTCTCTCTCTGCAGCTGAGTAGGTTCTGTGTGAACTGATCAGCTTGTTTTTTTGCCCCAGAATGCTAACCAGTCCTGACTTAGAGGGCAAGTAAATTTAAAAATCTTAAATTAGAAATAAAGAATGATCTTAGGAAATTATAGGGTCATTCTCGTCCAGCAATGTTTTATAACTAGCTTCCTCCTTCTCTTTAGTAGTCAACGGAAATTATTAAAGAGTGTTGCATTTTCCTAATACAGCCCCCTCAACACATGCCATTTAAGTAAACAACTCCATGTAAGAGGCAGTTATAGTGGTTTATATAATATAAACTATCTGATACAGACACCATCTGAAAGCCTGTATTTCTAACAAGTTGACTATATGGAAGAATAGACTAGTTGGCAGCTCAGAAGATTATAATGTAGCTTACACTGGTAAAGAGCAGAAATTGTTGAAGCTTTAGTACCTAGCTGTCTTAAAGCATTTTTAAACATTTACACATTACTAATAAAAAGTTTGAAGTTAACATGAAATTTGACATAACACTGAGTAAGCTGTAAATATTTCATGTAGAAGATGTCAGACACCTGATAAATGTTACTTACCAAATAGAACTGAAAGTGAGATGATCAGAAAAGGACTGTCCCTTGCCTCAAGCAAGCTTCTGAAGCCTAGGCAAGTTAGCTAGGTCCTTAATATGGGATTCTGGCATCTTGATTTTAATGTGCTCTGAAAACAAAGTGTGTGACTCATGAAATAAAGGACACTAAACCCCAAATTTGAAATTATGAAAAGTTTAGGCCAAAGAGGTAAAATAAAAACAGCTGTTGGGAATGAAAAATGGCTGTAGGAATTTAGTTACAAGTACTTCACAAAAACATTTTCATCACATTTACATAATATAGCATTACAATACAAAGCTGGCTGCTGTCCTGACCAAGCAAGTTCTCTTATCATCTAACAAAAATAATTTAGATACATTTCTTTGCATGGAATTGTCATATTTTTCCATTTTTGGTACAAAACATAGAAAAAAACATTGGCACAGTATGTAGTGATAAGTCATTTTTTCCCCATGTACAAGTTCCAAGTATTCTGCATTCCAATTTGTATTGGAAAAAAGTAATTACTGATTCAATTAATTCAGTCTCTGTTTATACCTTTTAAAAATGCAGCATGAAGTACAGAGAAAGAAAAACGAAGTTTGTTTACGGGGTCTAATATAATACATAGGAAGGATCGGCTGGTAAAAGAGAAAAGAAAATCTCAAGTCTGACTTTATGTAGATCACAGAGTTGTGAAAAGAGCAGTATAAAAATATGCACTTGTGCTTTAGAAGCTTTTAGCATACAATTAATAGCTTAAAATAGTATTTACTGCCTCCCCATATGCTTATTTTCTGATATATTTACACCGCACAATTTTAACATTGTTAAAGCTAATGGCATGATTTCAAATATAGATTGGTTAAAAATATCTGAACCTTGAAACTTCCCCTCCCTATCCCCTCCCGAAATATTACGTATATGTGGTGCATGGCACAATATACTCCATGGGCTTACACCCAGAAAATTTGGATTTTAATAAAAATTTTAAACATGTATATAAACTTTTTTTTTTTTTTTAAGAAAAGCTTGTCCAAGGGCATTCAGATTTAATGGCTTTTATATAATACTTGTTATAGTGCCTCATGGCTGCCTCTGTGAGCCAGAAATAAGGGAAGCTCATGGATTCCCCAAAAATGAAATGCCACTTTTTCCCTCATCGTGGATGGCTGTTACCCCCTTTTACGGGAAAGGGGGTACAACACCGGCTGCTGATACCAGTCTAGAGAGGGCACCCACCAGCCAAGGCTGTGTTCTAACTTCGGTGTCACACCATCGGCCAGAAGAACCATGTAGCCATAGAGGCTGTGAAGCTAACTAGTTTATCTGTAATTTGGTCCAAGTTATTTCACTTATTTTATGTAGTTTTTTTTTCCTTAGATATATCTGTTCAGATAAGCTTCTTATGAATCCTTCAGATCGATGCTCTTGAGGAAAATAGTCAAGCTAAACAGTAATGATGATTTTTATGGTAAAGGATGAGCTGAACACTAGCTAAGCCACTTAGTCACCATCCTGGGAGACTGAGCTCACAGGCACCAAGGCTTTGCTTCCTGTGACCTGCTAGTTACAGTGAATCAGCTCCATGGATTGACAAGGGTACACCGGATGATAGCAGAGCAAAGGAGTTTGCCAAGTATTTGTTCTGTCATTAAGTATTCAAAAGGACATATATTTTTCTTCATGAAACATGACTTTCTAAAAATGAAATCTGGGGACTTGAATGATTCAAGGTCAAATATTAAACATTAGCTCCTTCACCAATACCTGTCATTATCATTAGAAAGGAAGGCCTCTTGTTTACGCTACTGCGATTCACAGTGTCCTTTGTAGGTCAAGAGGCCCCCTTCTGTGGCTTGGCTTTAGCTGTCAGATGGAAGCCTCAGACTTTTGCACTTTAGGTCATCTAGTGTCTTCCAGTGTTTGTAGTTGTCAGCCAAATGTTGCATCAGGGCTGGCAGATGTGCAAAGGCTGCAAGGACAGAAAAGAATAAAAAGAAACCTGTGAAGTTAGACCCCAGGAGCGTTTATAAGCCTGGGGCTGTCTGGGACAAGTGTGGGATCAGAATTAGAGGAGGCATACCGTGGGTGAGGCCTCAGGCTGTTAAGTGAACACACTTAACATGAGGACAAGTCATTAAACACTAGTTGCTGAAATACAAACAGGTCCTTTTTGAAAAGCTGCATATCAGAAGAACCTATGATTCAGAGTAAATACATTTTGCATTCTTCCTAGAGTTTCCTCCAATGATAGAATAAAACTGCAGTAGCTTCTGCAACGTGTCCTTTGAAGAGGCAAAGACTCGTTTATCCAGTTACCAAAAATCCATTGAGTCTTCTGCACACAAGCTTCTGTGCCAGCTGCTGGGGATGCAAAGAATGCACCCACCCAACTCGGCCACAAAAAGCTGACAGCCACATTTTAAAAAATATATTTTGTTTACCTTTAGGGTCACCCTATGTCACTAAAGATAATAAAGTATAACAAAATTTTCTTTGTGGGTGACAAAACAGTAACTGTCTTACCATCCCAAGCATCAAACATGTCTGTTATGAAGTAGTCAATGAAAGAGATCTGAGACTTGGGGATGCTACAGGTATTCCGGTCAAACACTGGCATCACCACAGGTAGCCCCTGTCTCTTCTCTTCATCGGTCTGTAAGAAAAAAACACCATCACATAGGGCTGGAGGACATGCGAGACACTTTTACAGTAATATCCTGTTTCTCAGAACAACCCTGTGAAAATGGGTTATTATCCAGTTTTCTCAATGAAGACATAGGCTCAGCAAGGTCCTCAGACTTACGTAAGTCAGCTGAGCTACAGTGACTACACTCAGGCCTTCCCACTCTCAAGCCTCTTACTTTTTTTCTTTTGTTTTTGAGACAGAGTCTCATTCTGTCGCCCAAGCTGGAGTGCAGTGGTGCAGTCTCGGTTCACTGCAACCTCTGCCTCCCAGGTTCAAGCGATTCTTCTGCCTCAGCCTTCTGAGTAGCTGGGATTACAGGCACCTGTTACCATGCCCAGCTAATTTTTAGTAGAGACGGGGTTTCACCATGTTGGCCAGTTCACTGTCTTGAACTCCTGACCTCAGGTGATCTGCCTGCCTTGGCCTCCTAAAGTGCTGGGATTATAGGCACGAGCCCCAAGCCTCTTACTTTCTATGTGATACCATAGCATCTCCTGACATTTTGATCTCAGGGTACTTAGCCTCTTTGCTGTGATCTTTTATTATTGCAAAGTCAAAGCTATTTTCAATGTCATACAAACACAAATTCTCATACCAAAACTACTGACGTTTACACTGAGAAGAAGCAACAGTGGGTAAAACTGCTAACACCTTAGCATGACTCAATGAACTAGCACGAAACTGTATTAATAGCCATAGTCATTATATTATTCGCTGCCACATGTTTGCACTTTAAAAAGTTTCAGGCCGGACCCACTGGCTCATGCCTGTAATCCCAGTAATATGAGAGGTCAAGGCAGGAGGATTGCTTGAGGTCTGGAGTTTGAGGCTGCAGTGAGCCAGGACTGTGCCACTGCACTCCAGCATGGGTGACAGAGTGAGATCTTGTCTCAAATTAAAAAAACAAAACAAAACAGTTTCACTTAAGAATTACCTCTTTGAAGCAGTAAGAGTTATTGTATTGAATCTTGACCTTTGAAGTACATGTCTCTGTAATATTCTGTGTGATGAATGTGATGAAATGGGAGTACACGTGCACTTGCACTGCATACCAAAATCTGCTGGTCATCTTGTGGAAAAGCACTTATGCACTTGAATTGAGATGAACCAGCTGCTTTTATCCATGGAGCATTATTTTCACTCGAAAGAATGACTGTCAAACTATGATTGTTCAGATGTGGGTATTAGCCATGCAGCTTTTGAGGTGTGTGGAAATCTGAGTATTATGCACATTAAAGTAAGGCCATCATTCATTGAGCTGAATATTAAGATCCACATTTCCTGGTGGTGTATTGAGCCAGAGGCCAGCTCAAAGGCTTCATTTGTAACTTTCATTTTTAGGTCACCCTGGCTTATGAACATTAGTACATTCCTTTTTGGGAAAAGGACACCTAAATAGGAAGCTTATATCAAAAAACTTAAAAGCACATTTTTCTCATTCTCCATTCACACTGAGAATAACTAGGAGTAGTACTTCAGGTCCTCGCTCTGTGTCCAGGGAAGCCCATTGATGAGCAGCTTTTGGCTTGGCTTGCTCATTTCAGGTCAGTCGATCAAGCAGCCTTAAAATACCCACTGGTGTTCAAGGAGTCATTTGATCCCCACCCCCTTCCTGTTCTCTCTGGAAAGCTCAGAACTACCTGTCCTACTTTTCTTCAATTCAGGGGCTCTCTTCCCAGAAAGCTGCAGTTTACTTACTGGATTTCATGAACAGACACTTCTCTAAAGACGGACGACATACAAGCAGCCAACAGACATTAAAAAAAAAAAACGTCCAGGCTGGGCGCGGTGGCTCACGCCTGTAATCCTAGCACTTTGGGAGGCCGAGGCAGGCGGATTGCCTGAGCTCAGGAATTCGAGACCAGCCTGGGAAACACAGTGACACCATCTCTACTAAAATACAAAACATTAGCTGGGTGTGGCAGCGTGCATCTGTAATCCCAGCTACTTGGGAGGCTGAGGCAGGAGAATTGCTTGAACCTGGGAGGTGAGGGTTACAGTGAGCCGAGATCATGCCACTGCACTCCAGCCTGGGCAATGGAGCAAGACTGTCTCCAAAAAAAAAAAAAAAAAAAAAAAAATCCAGCATCACTAATCAGACATGCAAATCAAAATCACAATGAGATACCATCTCAAACTAGTCAGAATGGCTATTATTAAAAAGTCAGAAAATAACAGATGTTGGCAAGGTTGTGGAGAAAAGAATGCTTATACACTGTTGGTGAGAAATAAATTAGATCAGGTAGCCCAAGCAGTTCGGAGATTTCTCAACTAGAAATAGAAATTGCTATTCAACCCAGCAGTCCCATTACTGGGTATATGCCCAAAGGAAAATAAATCTTTGTACTGAAGAAACACCTGTACTTGCATGTTTATGACAGCACAATTCATGGTAGCAACGACATGGAATCAACCCAGGTGCCCATCATTGGTGGACTGGATGAAGAAAATGTGGTGCATATATACCATGGAATACTATGCAGCCATAAAAAAAGAATGAAATCATGTCATTTGCAGCAACATGGCTAGAGCTGGAGGCCATTATCCTAAAGTGAAGTGATATAGAAACAAAACCAGATACCACATGTTCTTTCTTAGAAGTGGGAACTAAACATTGGGAACACACAGTGGCAGAAACTGGAACAGTAAACACTGGAGACTTCAAAAGGAGGGAGGGAAGGGGGCAAGGGTTGAAAAACTCCTTATTGGGTACTATGTTTACTACTTGAGCCATGGATCATTAGAAGCTCAAACCTCAGCATCAGCAATATACCCTTTTAACAAACCTGCACATGTACCCCAAATCTTAAACATACTGGGTCCGCTGCTGGCCACTCCCCTTCATGGTCTTCCTAGGTATTATCTATTCTTTATCTTGCCCTTATTTATACTGCCACCATAGTACATTTCAGCCATGCAGACCCCACAACATTCACTACTTGTGGCTACTTGTTTGTCACCCACACACCCATCAGTGCTTAGAGTCTTTTCTCTGGAAGTAGGGCTGTTTCACATGTTCATTTACAGTCCACTGCTTTCAAGATTTCTCTCCTTTAACTCCTCTTTACACTGTCACAGTAAAAGTGAACTACATATTGCTCCTCTTTATATAAAAATTCTGTTTTCCCTCCCCTTGTTAATTTTGCTCAGAATGCTTTGTTCTTCCAGAGTATTCTCCTATTCCCACATTTCTGTAGCCCCCCCTTTTATCTAGGGAAAAAAGTCTGAACTCCTGTCGCACTTAACATAAACTTCCTTGAGATACACTTCATTTTTTACCAACATGTGGACCTATCTGCATCTCTTCCCCCACTGGACTGGGAACTTCCCGTGGCCGCGATGTCTTCACTAATGCTTGTGTTCCCATAACCCACCATGGAGACACCCAGGAATAACCTAATGAATGAATGGAAGATTTCTCAGTTTTTGTACAAGTTCTGGATCGAACAAATTGAAGATGAGAAGTTACTTCCAAAGGCTCAGTTTATCCTCCTTCTAGAGAGACTCTGGTTAGTGATCAGCCCATCAGTCAGTTCCTGAGGGAACCAGAAGTCTACCCCAGGAGGGGGTAAGCTGCTTTCTTCTAGGGAGGAGTGGTTAACTAATTGGTAAAAAGTTAACCGGAGAATCCCCCAGGATTTCCATGACCTGGGGCCCATTCCCAGAGGGGAAGTGGAGCTTCCCTGGAAAGATGGCGCACCTGTGCAAAATACTCCTCAGAGATCCTCCCAGCCCATTCAATGCACAGGTCCAAGGGGCGGCATGGGTTGGCCACATCAGCACACTTAATCATCATGCGTTTGATCAGGATTTGGTTTTCAGGGAAGTTCTTCCCGGCAGGGTTGCATTCACAGTCGCTGCCCTCAATCTGGAAAACAGATGGTCGGATCAGGGTTGGTTCAAGATGATGGTGAAGCCCACGAGGGCTGACTCACCTGGCATTCGATGGTAATCACCGAGCACACAGGTGGGACTGGGACTCAGCGAAGGCAGCTTTTTTTAAAATTCCATATATAATATGCCAATACATTCTTTAAAAAAAAAAAAAAAAAGAATATGCTGATACAGTCTTAAAAGACACTCAACACAGAGTTTGAAAGCTGAAAGTCCCTATCACCACCTGTCTACCCCTCACATCCATTTTCTTCCCTAGAGGTAACTGCTATAGCAGTTTTGTTTTTATTTTGAGCAATTTGATATGTAATGTGAGAGGAAATTTCTCCCAGTTTAAAAAAAAAAAAAAAAAGGGTAAAAGCAGAGCTTTTAGCTACTTTAATCCATTTAAAGTAGAGCAATGGCACATGCATGTAACCTTCGATTATTTCTTGATTTCTACTCCTTATGCCTACCAGCTCCCTCCCTCCTATGACCTGTCCCACCCCCACTCACCCACTCCCTCGCACTTTGGTTCTCCTAAGGCATGTGTCCACTCATGTTTTCTTGGCTGTTCTTCTGACTGGCTGGTAAGTGAGCAAGGTAGGTGTGGGGTTCTTGGAGTAGAAAGTGGTCAGGAGCAGGTGTGTTCAGCCATGTTTAGAAAGACTGGTCTACACCTAGTGGTGATGTCAGTGTCCTCAGCCATGTATGTGGCCAAGACACGAGTTGGTGCACACAGATGCAGTCACAGGCCGTTTACATAGAACCTGAAAGATTGTTATTCTCCACTTTTAAGGACACCATCAAATTGATTGTGTGCAAACAGGTCTCCAGAGCTCTGCCAAGCCAAAAGGCTGCATGACATTTGGAGGGTTTTAGACTGGACCTATTTATTAGACTATCAATGTGCAGAATATGTTCTGGAGGTTTTTGATTACTTATCAAAGTAATACTGTGTACTATAAATACTGCAGTTAATAGTAAGTTTCAATGCAGAGTTGGGGGCTTACATGGGTGGATGACCTTCCCAGTTCTGAAGTTCTATGAATCTGTATACTTTTTCTTCTCTAAATCCCCAGATCCTTGCTCCTGTAAGTCCTCTGTGGAAGGAGAGGGTTCTGGTGTTGTGCTGTGGAATCCCTGGGGGAAGGGGCTTAATAGGTGAGGTGGACACTGTCCCTCCATCCAGACTGGTCATGGGATGGGTCCTACACAGATAGTCTCCTTACTGATCAAGTTACGATGCTCATTCACATCCATCCACTTTGCCAACCTCTGCTGCTCAACAGGAATGAGCGGAAAGCTTTTCTAGCTTTATGGAGTTATGAACAGCTTCATGGCTTCAGAGAACAGTGGATCTTATTAGGTGTGAACCTTCTGTTTCATGTTCCTAAAACCCAAATTGGTAAGGACCTTAAGGCAGGTCCTAGGTACATGAGTAGGTTTTAAAAAAGGAAAACAACGAATGCTTCTGCTTTCCAGTCACTCCCAGTTTTATGATAGTCTTCAGGTACTGGTATGCTTTTAATGTGAACCAGCAACATTCTTTGTTCTTGAAAACACCCTCCAACTTTGAGGTTTTCCAAGAGCTCAGTGAACAGAGAAGTAAAGGCTTTGGATTCTCTAAAATACCACCATTTATGCCAGTCTCTGCTCGTCTGCAGCTCCTTCCATATTCTTTGGGCCTAGCTTTTTCGGTCAGTACTGGCTTTTTCTCAGGGACTTTCTTTCAAGGAGCTCAGAGTTGCTGTGGACACAGTTTACTCTCATCCCCAAGGAAAACAAGTGGCTAGTCCTTTCAGCCCTTTACCAACTCCAGGCAAATAACCACCTTGCATTTGAGTGGGAGAGAACATGCTTTGGGGCCAGAGCAGGCTCTCATGGGAACGTACTTGGATGTGCCTTACGGCATGGAAAGCAGCACTCACCTCAGCTGCCATTGGCTTGTTGATGCTGTTCACAAACTTATTCACATGTTCAAAATGTTTTGTCATCTCTGTTGCCAAAACCATGTCAATAATAGCCTGGCGCAGCGTTCGATAATGGTTCCTAAAATAACCAGAAGACAAAGGGGCTTGTTCACAGTGTGTCTCGAATTATAACTATTCTGCCACCATTTCACTACACTCCTCACAACCCAAGAGGAAGCTGCGGCACAGAGTTAAGAAATGTGTGCAGATCGCAAGAAGAGTTTACCTGCTCGTCCTCCCAATAACCAAGACCTGCAGATGCTACTCCATTTTCCCCAGTGATAGCTGATGCTTATGTGATTTACGAGTATTTTTAAAAAGACAGAAGGTACCTGTCACATGGTGGACATTTATCTGACAAGGTGATTCCCTTCTCCCTTCCCTTGAGAACATCAAAACAGTACGGTGGCAGGAAATGGTAGGCTGTTACAGCAGCCACATAAGCTGGCGCACTGCACTCTGTGCAAACACAGTGATTGCCATTGCAGAATGGCCACAGCGTCCTTCAGTGATGGCAATGGAGGATTTTCCTGTTAATAAATACTTCCCTAGATTGCAGCGGACAGAAGTTGTAATGAATGAAGCAACAACCGTGCCCTAAAGTAACCATCCAATTCTGTCGTCGTTTTCTAACTTCAGGAGCCAGAATGGCTCTTGAATGAAATTGGCTACTGGAAAGAATTTTCTGCAAAAGTTTAAAATCCCATCCTTGATACTCATGAAACCGAAGCCAAAGATGGAATAACTCACCTCCATGTTTTCCCAGTTTTCTGGAGACCAAACCAACAGGTTCACGTAGACCAGCGGTCCTGAGGCCTGAGGGCGCTCCATGTTCTCTGTACACTGCCCCCTCCCAGGCATCTGTGCACCAGCCTGGCTGGTGCTGTGTGGGAAATACCCACAGCCTGACCGCAAGGTGCTGGCAGGCAAGAGGACCTGCTCACATCTAACCCACTGTCATCAGCGGAGAATGCAGGGCTGGGGGAACCTGACCGACCCTTCATGCTCCTGCTCTGTGGGACCTACTCATAAGGGAGTATTTTAAGCAGCCGGAAATTGAGCTAGGGAAAGATGGGGGTGGATACATTTTCCTCAAGTTGCACAAAAGACAGGATGTCCTCATAGGAGGGTAAAAATATCTGGTATACTTAGTAATAATACAATCAATATTTATGTAGTGTTCTGCAGTGTATAAAACATTTTTATGAACTCACTGAAGACCAAATGTGATTTCAAAACATAAAGGCAGTCTGAAAAGTCAAATTGAGTTAAGGGCAAGGTTATTTTATCATCTGATATAGTGGGACAGCTATTATTTTCCCTTTCCCCTAAGAGGAAGCTAAGTATTTGGGAAAACTGAGTTTCCCACTTAAACTTCACAAACTTGAGCACAGGAGCCCAAGCACAACACACCTGTCAATATTCTTGAAAATGTTGCATTTGGTGTCCTTGACGGTGAGCTGGAAGGCCAGGGCGGTGTGGTGACTCTCCAGAACAGCAGTGTCATTGTAGAGCACAGCAAGCTCACTGCCTGCATTGCAGAGGAAAGAGTTGGTCCTTCCCGGGTGATCCACGTCATGGACCGTGGCAGCAATGAGGGCTGCCACCTCATCCAGCTGATCGAGGCTTCCCTGGAATACGGGGAGGCAAGGTTGAGCATTACCACTGGATCTTGGAGACCCACATCCATCCTTGTCTGTGCAGAGGGTCAGGTCAGGGGACGTGGGATTTTCAGAACGTTTTTAGCCGGTTGAGCCTTCTGACCTCCTAGATGTGGAGAGGCGGCCTTGGACATGCAGCATCACTTTACTGTGCTGTCTGTTATCAGGAGGGAAACCTGAGCCACAGTTACAACAGACAGCTTAATTCTTTCTCCAGGGGCCATCAGTTGCTTCTACAGGAAGAGGCCAAACAAGCCTTTTGAATTGCCCACTGTACGGTGTTTCTGCCACAGCAGAAAGCGGCCTATGTTCACAAATATTACCAATTTGCCTAGTTCTGAAAAGATTGAGTGTGCATGTAGCAAATGGCTCAGATACAACAAAACTATTCATACAATGGTGAAATGACTAGAGCTGTAAAAGAGTAAAAGAGTACCAAGTAAAAGAGAACCAAGCAGTAAAAGAGGACCAAGGGGAAGAAGAAGAACTTTGCCAGGAAAATTAAGGCTAAGGGGGTTCTTGCAACTAAGAACAAAATTCAGCTCTGGGCTAGCAGGCAGCAAAGGCAAAAAGGGAAACCCTATTTTGAAAGCTCTCATTATGTAATTAAAGAACACAAACCAGAGCATCCGGGGATACAAGTGTTTTCTGAGCCTGCAGCTTTAGGAGGGAGTTATCAGATGGGCTATGTTATATAAGAGATGCTGTACTAGGAATTTATTATTTATTGAGTGCCTACCACGTACCAATTATCGCTGCATAGTGCCAGAGCTGCAGCAATGATTTACACTGGCACAGCCTGCACAAGGAAGTTTGTAATGTAGAGGGAGAGAGACAAATACATTTAAAAACACAAACAGAAGTAACTTGCTGTGAGATGCGCTAAGAAAGAAAGTACAGATGCTTTGGGAGTATAACCATGGGGCCTGGTCTAGTTTAGGGCAGCACTGTCCAATGTACGTTTTGCGATGACAGAAATGTGTTCTATTTGTGCTATCCGATAGAGTAACTCCTAGTCACATGCAGCTACTGGACACTTGAAAGGTAGCCAGTGCAACCAAGGAACTGCATTTTAAATTTTATTTCATAGCCATGTGAGACTGATGGCTACATATCAGATAACATGAGTCTCGAGGGTGGTCACTTCCAAGGAAGTGATTTTTCTGCTGAGCCTGAAGGAGAGGTAGGAATTGTCCAGGCAACAAGCAACAAGAGGGGAATTCCAGGCAGAAAGAACAGCCTGCATGAAGCTCCTGAAGTCAAATGAAAAAAGGTCTGTTCAGGAAACGTAAGCAACATCATTGCGGCTGAAGGGACAGTGAGTGAGAGGGAAAGTGGTCCCCAGGATACGGGGGGTGGGGTGGGTCATCATTTTTGGTATTCCCAAAATTTGCTCTCCTAGGCCTGCAGGAGGATGAACGGCTGCTCAGGTGAGGAAGGTGAACCTGTAGCTCAGCCCTGTCCTGCAATGGCACCCTGATGGCCAAGGGGCTGCACATGTTTGTATTGGTTTAGCAGGCTTCCCCGAAAGCTCTGTCTCCGCCAGAAGGGAGCCATTTCCATTCCTGACGCTGACCCCATGGAGCTGGTGGGCAACACTGGGGTGACCCCAATCAACACAACTAGGCTCCTGAGTAGGGACAGCAGAAGTTACTCTTTTCAGCTCTTCTCAGAGATTGATTCTGCAGTGCCCAGGGCAAGCAAGCATGATTTGGCCATTTCACTGCTGGTCGAGAGAGGCCACGGTCACCTGCAGGCACGTTCAGCGATCTCCAAGCTCAGGACCCAGGACAGCCCCAACCTGGGCTCCGCCTTCACTGACTGTACCTGAGCAGTGAGAACCCACAGGGCCCAAACTCTGGGCCTCCAGCTAGTGCCCCTGTGGTATGTTCAATCCTGCTTGGAGTCTCAGGCCTGTTTATTTTTTAATTCTTCAATGAAAGAGATTCAAGTAACTGGGGTAGAAAACATAAATAGCACTAGATGAAACATGCCTTTCCTTCCAGCTAACACTGACTTAAACCGTGCCCTCAGTGACTTTTACAAAGATACCAATAATGGGTCCTGCAGTTTAGGTGGGCACCAACAAGGCCTTGTCAGACCAGAAATGGCTGGGAGGTAGGGAAGGAAGACAGGCCAGCTCACTAGCAGACGGGAGAAGCAAGGCTCTATGTCAGGGAGGAGCTATCCATGGAAGAAAACCCCACCAAACCCGCAACTGGCGAAATTCCAGTCCCGTGGAGTTACCTCTGCATAGTTTTTTCCTTCCCTAACCAGTAGGAGTAGATTTGGATCACACTGAGGAAAGTTGGCCAGAAGGGTTTCATTCTAGATCTGCTTTTCCAATAGTTGCTTATTCAGGATAAATATTCACGTATGCCCAGACACTAATAAAGGAATGCTTGCTATCCTGGCCTCTCCACTTGCAATAGTTCCCTGGAATTGGGTAACGTGGGGAGAGGATGGGGTCTGTCACCAATTGAAGCGAGTGTTGGCTCTGGGCATGCTAGCTTTACAGCTGGGTTGGGCATGCTCTGTCATAGAATTAAGAATTTTAGCCTGGCCAGGCACAGTGGCTCACACCTGTAATCCCAGCAGTTTGGGAGGCTGAGGCTGGTGGATTATCTGAGGTCAGGAGTTCGAGATGAGCCTGACCAATATGGTGAAACCCCATCTCTACTAAACATACAAAAATTAGCCGGGTGTGGTGGTGCATGCCTGTACTCCCAGCTACTCGGGAAGCTGAGGCAGGAGAATCGCTTGAACCTGAGAGGTGGAGGTTGCAGTGAGCCAAGGTCGTGCCATTGCACTCCACCCTGGGTGACGACAGAGCGAGACTTCATCTCAATAAAAAAAAGAAAGGAAAAAAAATTTAGCTTATCACAAAGAAATTAGGGGTGACAGATGACACAAGAGAGGTGAGAAAATACTTCCTGACCCTCTTTGTCAGTGCCAGCAGATCTGGTAGAAGAGACCTCAGGAATAAATCTTTCTGGAAGCACCTCATGATGGACCCACCAGTGATCACAGGCAGGTAACCAAAGCTCTGAGCACAGAAGCCCCTTCCAGCTCAGTTCTCCAAGGTTCCTAGCAGCTCTTAAGTTTTCTGATTCTCTGGCAGGGGCTGCCAGCATGAGAAAATGTTTTCTGAATTGTAAACATATTCTGTCCAATCTTAAACTTGTTTCTATTGCTGTAATTTGAGAAATCTAATCAGGCTCCAAATATACTAGCAGAACTCACAATTTAAAGAAATATATTTTGGAAGAGGATAGTAAGATATGATCAAGCTACTAAGCATTCCCTAATTTATCAAAGATTTCATCAACGTTTTCCTAGAGTGGTTCTGCTTGAGTGAGGTTCACCTCTAACTCAAGACTGCAGAGGCTATTGATCACCTTGCTCTTGGCATTAATGAGTTGGGTGCTGTTTTCACCTGGTAGCATGTGGCTTCAGCTGTGAAATATTATGTGGTATAAAAGAGAGGAGCATGGGCCGGGCACGGTGGCTCATGCTGTAATCCCAGCACTTTGGAAGGCCAAGGCGGGTAGATCACGAGGTCAGGAGATGGAGACCATCCTGGCCAACATGGTGAAACCCCACCTCTACTAAAAATAAAAAAAAAAAAAAAAAAAAAAAAAAAATTGGGCGTGGTGGCGCACGCCTGTAGTCCCAGCTATTCAGGAGGCTGAGGCAGGAGAACTGCTGGAACCCGGGAGGTGGAGTTCACAGTGAGCTGAGATCACGCCACTGCACTCCAGCCTGGGCAACAGTGCAAGACTTCGTCCCCCCACCCCCCCAAAAAAGAGGAGCATGAACCTGTAATAGGAATCCAGGGTGTTTTCACTCCTCAAAGAAAGGTGTTATAGAAACATAGGTTGATATCACTATTAGTTTTTTAAAAGTAGAAGACAAAATTCTTCAAAAGCATCATTCTTGGGCCACATTGTTTTCTTGTTGATGAAACTGAATAAATATCAGGATGCTGCTGGCAAAACTGAGAAGAAAACCTTACCCACACCCCTCTTCCTGTTTTCATGCCATTTCTGCTTCTACCTGTCTCACTATAGCTCCTAAATACCTAGGATATTAATCCTTCATCAACACCTGTTCTAAGAAAATGATCTAAGGTCAGGCATTTACAGATTGACGTGAATTTCAATCCCTGTATGGCACTTCTCCCAGGGGTATCTAAACTTTAAGTTTTAGTTCTATTGTAGCAAAAGAATGTATAAGCTTCGGTGTGCAAGTGGGGGTAGCTGGGGAGGAGGAGAGATGGGGATTACTTGCCGGCTTTAAATAGGGCTGCCCTTATGTAAAGGGCAGGGGTTCCTAGGACTGCCCTGCAAGTCAGCGGTGGTACATGACAGTACTGAACTCTAAGACCAGGGGATATGGAACTCGTTCAGAATTATGCAGAAGTCATTAATATACAAATAGGCACATTCGCACCTACACAAAACACAAACACAAATGTATGTAAATCAGTGTAGAATGCGGAATGGCTATTAATACCTGGATTGTAATCTACCAGTGGCCAAATCCTGATACTAAAATTTAACCTATAGATCTAGTAACCATTTGCTGTAATAATTAAGTTCTGTCCTGCAACCCAGTAACACAGCTCCTAGCTAACGCTTGGAAAATGGGTTCATTATCTGCCATGCATATAAAGGAGTCTCTGTGGTGATACAAATTATTATTTGGAGGAGGGGAGGGCTAGCAGAAAGGTCCGTGTCTTTACTACACCAAAGTGACTGGTCAATTTGGTAACAAAAAATTTTTTTTTAAAAAGCTGTCAACTTGGTTGCAAAATAGCTGTTTGCTTAACGTATTTACTAAGATTAAGTTCTTGGATCTCCAATCCAGGCAGGTAACTAGGTCATGGTATCAAAATCCTACCTTTACTCTTTCCTTTCCAAGGAAGAAAGCGGTGGCGTGCAGGACGTCAGCAGCATGGGTGGAGTTGTGGTAGGCATTGGAAGAGTGGTAGTTGGCTTCGATCACTTGGAACCAGGCCCGAAGAGTGGTTTCAGAACAGTTTAAAAATTCACATACTCCAAACCGAGAGAAGACCTTTAAGCCCAGGTAAACCAGTGGCCTGAAAAATAGGAAAACCCACCTGGGCTCATTGTATTCACTGGCCCAGAAACTGTTTTCGTTGATGATAGTGGGGGATGGAAGCATTTTTCTTCTGATGATAGCTTCACACACACAGGGGTTTAAAAGCATCTCCTCTAAAAATTAGGAGGCGGGATCTCTCCTCCTCACCAGCCACCTCTTTGGAACTAGATGCTTCATTGTAGTACATCCAAATTATGTCTGGATGATCTCTAAACCACAGGCCCCTCAGTGGCTCTGACAAGCAAGAAAGGAGCCTGGCGGTCCCTCTCCACTTCCACTTCCACATTAACCTTGCACTTTATTTCTGCTCCCTAAGGAAGTGACTAAGCCTAAGGGCGAAAGGAACAGCTTGGATGGTCCCAAGTCCTATCATTTAGAGTCCTGTTACTTATTTCCATTACAGGTGAGAATCATTCATATCCTACAGACCAACACCCCTGGGAAGAAATAGCCTTCTCCTAGTATAGAAAAAGAACTTTTAGTTATCTAATCTTTCCTCTGCCTACAGGATGGATCATGGAAAAAAGAAAAAAAAAAAAAATCTATAGTGCTCTCAATTCCATTTTGTAGGGTAGAGCTTCCACAATTTTGAGACTGAGGATTCTTAGAACTCTTGGCTCACTAGCACAAAGGAGGGACCTGTGGATACTCAGGCGGATCCCACATCTTACTAATACTCTCCACAAAGGGGGTCACTCAAGGGTTCCAGTCTCTCTGCTCATTCAACACTACTCTAACACGGCATGAGAGCCAGAACCCATGAGGTCTCTCACGGCAAAAACATCTCTCCCTCAAAGTTTCCAAATGTGAGAGTTTGAGTGTGGCCATCAATCCTGCTCTGCCTTCAGCCAGAGGAGTCACATACCTTTTATGCGTAACGGCTTCCAATTCAAAGATGTTGAAGTCCCAACTCTCCTCATTATCAAGTAATTGAGAGATACAAGGGGGAACATCATTGATGGTTATTGGCATTGCAAGGTGACTGTGGCTCTGGTGCACATCTGAGCAAACAGATGGGATGGGAGAGGCTGGTTAATTGTGGAATCTTGAGCGCCCGGCTGTCTGTCATCATCTTCATGGTTACTACTAGAAAAGAAGTCTTATACCTGATTTTTCTGTTATTGAACTTCAAGACCCTCAAATAGAAAAATAATTCACTTTAACCCTGTTTAAATGTATAGAGATTTGCAATTCTTACTCTAACTGTGCTCAGAGAAGTAATTTTAATTAGGAGACTAATTTTAAAGGTAGACCAATATTGATGCTTAAACTCAAATGGGACTAGCTGGAAGTAACACCTCCCAGAGCAATAATCACAACAGCAGGGACAGCACAGGCTGGAGACAGGTTACAGTAACCAGTAGATAGATGAAAACTTACTCTTAGTAAACACATACTCATTTCCTGACAGCCTTCTCAAGCCATCCTGGAATAAAGGAAGATCCTGTTAGAAGTATGCTTTATATCCATTATCATTCTCTCTCTCTCTTTTTTTTTATTAGTGAAAGAGATTTGAATCCTGAATAACCCAACCAATCCTGAAGTCTAAGTTGAAGCAAAGCTCAAAATTAAATCAGAACAGTTATAAGACAGACGATACTCTCCCTTCTGTAACTATTAGCCCCAGAAAGTGGAGAAGTGGGATAGAGTGGATATGGCTGCGTCAGGACTCACAGTCCTTGCTTCAGATCTTGAGGGGATTGCCTCACCCTCAGAGGGACTGTGTTACTTGTGTTTTCAGACTTACATTTTGAGGAGTTGAAGCCATCAGCCATATTTAGGGGATTACCTTCGAATATAAAATTTTAAAAAGATTGAGCTATTTTTTGACTAACATCCCAACTAATTTTTCCCCAACTGTATTTTATGTTTTAAAACATGAGCATTGCTGCTTGCCTTTTAAAGAAGAGTTTCTGGGTTTGAGGTCCTTGGAGTGCAGCATTAAGAGAGTGGATGAAATTCAAATGCTTGGCTATGTCCCGGCTCTACAACTAGTCCCCAAGTGTTCCTGAATCTCAGTTTCCTTCCCTCCACCTTCGATCTCTGAGTACCTAAATTATCTAGATCTTTGCTTAAAAGTCATTTAGAAATGCTTATTTGTCATTCCCAGATGATGTGTGCTAAGGTTTAAAGTAGTATTAATTAACGAAGGACTCCCCTGAAGTTACAACTTGGATCTTTAGGCCAAGAGCTGAGTAAACATGGACGTAACAACAGCCACAACTGTCCTGCCTCTAAGGTGTGTATGGCAAGAGATTCTTGGTTTTCCTTGCTGTTCTCTTGTTCCACTTCCCCAAAACCACATAAAATTGAGGTGGAATCATGCACTGGTTCCTCACAGCATCCTCTGGAGAGGAAATCCAGGATGGTATGGCAGTGATATAGGAGGAGGGACTTGGACATGGGGCCAAATTGAGGACTAGGTAAAACAGGTCCAGGGCAGAAGCACCTCCCCATAAGCTATGCCCACCAGCATGCCACTGCAGCTTACCGTTGCAATGGCAACACCCAGACGTTTCCACCCCTTTCCAGGACAACAACCCAGAAGTTATCACCCTCATTCTAGAAATATCTGCCAAAACTGCCCCTTCATTTGCATGTAATTAAAAGTGCATATAAAGATGAGTGCAGCACTGCCTCTGAGCTGCTACCAAGGACACACTGCCCATGGGGTAGCCCCACTGTGCACAGAGCAGTCCCTCTGCCGCTGCTGTACAACTGCTGCTTTAACAGAAGTTGCTGTTTAACACCACCGGCTTGCCCTTGGTATATTTCCTCGGAGAAGCCAGGAACCCTCCCGGCTGGGCCCCAGTTTGAGGACTTGCCTTTCCTGCATCAGCAGCAGGGGAGGGAGGGAACATGGCTTGCTCCCAGAACTAGACCCTTCCCACTGCAGCTCTGTGGTGGCCACCTTCTTGCAGAGCCCTTGCCGGTGCTGCCTAGAAGCTGAGTTCTGCACTGCATTAGATGGAGTTAACAGGCCAGCCCAGGGGCAAGAAAGAAACAAGGAGGCCCTCAAGTTCCAGGTGGAGAATGGAGGGGAAAGTCAGTCAACATTCAGCATTTGGTGGCAGGGATGGATAGAAACCTTCAGAGTCAAACTCATACATGACCTCTGGACTTTTTTTCTAAAGAATTCCAGCTTCTGATGGGGAACTCAAATAAATAATTTCAATTTTTTTCCTTTACTTGCTGATAGATGATTATGAAAGCCAAATAGTTCATAGGACAAGTCCCTAGAAATCAGCTACTCTTGGTGGTGTAAATTGTGCTTTTTGGAATTTGGCAATGAGAGGTTCCTTCTTCCCTTCCCCTCCCTGAGCCAGAACAGCCCCATTCTGCTTTTACCTTATAAATGGAACTTCTATACAAACTTTTATTTAAATAAAGGATCCTATAGTTAAGATTAAATGCTATAGTCTAACTATAAACCCTTTCATTACATGAGGAGTCTGAGGTCCATGGAAATGAAATCCAGTACTGTACCAGATCAAGGGAAAGCAGGAGTAATCAAGAGCCTGCAAAGCCCCATCTTGTACATTGAGCCCTCCACCAGTTGCCCACTGACTCCCTGCAGTCATAGGAATTCTGAAACACTGTCCCCATGGCTGTGGTAGGTCAGCCTCATGGAAAGACAAATGCAACAGTCACTCAAATACCACTACACATGTAATACATAAATTCCGATGCCGTTGCTTCTGGTTATGCTAACGTTAGTCTATACAGCAGGTACTTCTGCAACCACAGGTAACGGTTTCCACATCGGCTGCACTCTAGGGGCCCCGGATACCTCTCTTGCTTTTCAGGTTTTGCCTCATCACTCACAGTCATCAGGCCTCCAACAAGATCACTGGTGTGGGGATCTTCATCTTTGGTACCCAGCTGAGGGGAGTACAGTTCTGTGGTCCGCAAAATCTCTAGAACTCTGTCCAAGGCTTCCGCTACTGTGACTGGGCTGTTTTCTTGGGCTGCGTTGATTATATTTATAACCTAAGGGAGTGAAGAAAGAATACATCTGAGGACAACAGGTTCTATTTCCCAAAAGTCATATGTATGCCCAGAATCCAAAAGAAATCAGTGGGTAACCATCTCTTATTCAAAATGACCAGTGCTTTCACGGCACCGCCCTTCTTCCTGAAGCATGCTTTTCTCCCTGCAGGTTCCTGGTGAATGTTCTCCCTACCTCAGTGACTAGGCTTCCTCAGGCTCCCTGGCGGATTCGCCTCCCCGGCCTCCTCTACAGGTTGGAGTTGCTCAGAGATCTGTTCTGGGCCCCTCTCTCACTCTCTCACTTCCAGAAATGATATTTTGGTTCCATGACTTTGGACACCTATGGTCCATAGCCAGGGACTTTCGATATACCTCCCAGCCCTCAACTTCCTTTGACCTCCAGGCTTGTATGTTCAGTTCCCTACCTGACATATCTACTGGAATATCTCACAGGTCTAACACTAAACTATGGTCTTGTTCCCCTCTCCCCACAGAAAGCACATAAACACACACACACAAAAAAAACCAAAGACAAAAGCTGTTCACCTTCTGTGGTTTCTACACTGCAATAGAAAGCACTTCTCTCTATCTCATGTTCACACCAAAAACCTGGGAGGCCGCGCCTGACATACTTTTCCTCATTCCTCTCCCACCCCTGGCAATATAATTCATCACCAAGTCCTACTGGTCTACCCCAAAATATGTATTGATCATTTCTCTCCACCTCCACTGCTATAATTCTAGCTCAGCTACTTCTAGAATAGTCCCCTAACTGTCCTGTTCTCTTGCCACCTCCAATCCATTCTCTGCACAATAGCTGGGTGTTCTTTTCAACAGATAATCTGGTCACATCGCCCACCCCACACCTGAAACTCTTCAGTGGTTTCCAGTGCACATAAACTAAGATATAAACTCCTAACTATGTCCCTGTGGTCCAGAATGAGCTGAGCCCTGTACAACCTACATCTTCCTCCTCTCTCGCCTGCTTACCAAGCTCCGGCCACTCCACCTTTCTTTCACCTCCTTCAATGTTCCAGTCCCTCTTTGCTCATCACAATGCTTTTTCCCTTGCTGTTCCTGCTACCTGGAGTCTTCTTCTCTTCCTTCTCCTGAGTAACATTTTATGCTTGAAGTCTTGCTTCAAACATGATTGAGAGTTTCCCTGACCACCCATCTCATCCAACCTACTTAAGGGCCCTACTCTAATTTTCTCTCACAGAATCCAGTTGTTTTCCTTCACTGCCTTGATTGTGACTTTTGTTACGTGTTTATTTGCCTGTTATTTGCTTCTTCCACTAGACTGAGCTCCATGATGTCAGTGCGATGTATTTTCAGAGCACAGCCCTGTGTGAGGGCCCCTGACTGCAGAGTGCGGGCAGCAGCCGCCACTCACCTTTGTGATGGGAGCCTCGATGGTCATGGAGTGGATCCTCGCCATGGATGGATAGCGACGGTTCTGCAGGCTTGGTGCTGGAGAGAAGGCAAGAAAGCTGTGTCCAGTTCTGGTGGCTCAGTGTGGCTAAGTGCAGCAAAGGTGTCCCTTCATGGACCAGGGCCCACCTCTCACAGGACTACCCTCCCACCGAAAAAGCCATGAATTCACCCATCTCTTCTGCCAAGGCTGATAGCCCAACCTCTACTTGCCTGAGTCTGGAAAGGCGACCTCGCCTGGAACTTTGGAGGCAGGAGGGCTTGGTGAGCCCCAAGTCCAGAAGGGGAATTTCAGAGAAGGTTGATGGGGTCCAAAAAGGCTTCATCCCAACAGCCTAATGACCCCCACAGGGCTCACCTTCCCCCAGGTCACCCAAACCCAACTTTTGCAGTTCCATGACTTTCAGTCCTAAGCCGCTGGCCTTGTAACCAGATGACTGTGCAGCCAGCTTGGGAGGGGAGACAGTTCATGTTCAGGGTCAGGGCGGAGGATTGAGCCCATTCTCAGTCTGAATTAGGGCCACTCACTCCCCTGCCCATGCCTTCAGGCTCTTAACTCCCAGAAACCCATGGAAGTTCTAGTTCAAATCCACAGAAACTTTAATTTTTTTTAAAAACTTCTATTTTTCTGAATAGGTAATGTTTATACTTGGTTTAAGATGCCAAGGGTACAAGCTTGACTTGAAAAGCACTGTTCTCATCAGATCTTCCTACCACCCTCTCTGAGGCAGGCAGGAGGGGTGGAGTCCCATTTCATGGATGGGATCACTGAACCCAGCCCACATCAGAGCCTGCCTCCTGCTCAGCCACTCTGGGGTCCCCCCTGCTGCTGGTGTAGCAGCCATTGCAGACTTGCATGCTCTTCAGCCTCCACTGTGCCCACACTGGAGCGACGATAGTCCCCTTCAAGGTCCGCTCCAAAACCAGTGAGTCCAGTTCAAATTCCCTCAACCCCTACCCTCTCAGTCTAAAAGATTCTATCTATCCACTCAATCCATCGAAAAATCTCTCTTTATATTATTGGTTTCCATCCCTCACATGCCCTGTGAATTATCACCTTGTCTCTAGCATCTTTGGTCCTTGCTATGTCAGCCACTTTTTTTTTTTTTTTTGAGACGGAGTTTCACTGTTGTTGCCCAGGCTGGAGGCAGGATCTAGCTCACCACAACCTCCACCTCCACCTCCCGGGTTCAACCGAATCCCATGCCTCAGCCTCCTAAGTAGCTGGGATTACAGACATGCGTCATCAAACCCAGCTAATTTTGTATTTTTAGTAGAGATGGGGTTTCACCATGTTGATCAGGCTGGTCTCGAACTCCTGATCTCAGGTGATCGGCCTGCCTCAGCCTCACAAAGTGCTGGGATTACAGGCATGATCCACTGTACCTGGCCTATGTCAGCCACTTTAATACTCAGTCTTCCCACTGTGTACTGAAGGACTGGAAGGTCCCTCCCTTGTCCTTTCTGTTGACTCTCTTAAGTTACCAGCCTCATCTCTCTTCTATCACAGGCACTAACCATCCCCTCCTCACACCCCAGAACCTGTCCTCCCATTTGCCAAATAAAAACCAAATGAGTGAGTGAAATGTACTAGTCTATTGTCTGCTCTCTAGCTCTGATATCCATAGCATCTAACACTGCTGGCCACTTCCTTTCTCAGTTCCCTCTTGTTCTTGGTTCATGTGACACTGCACTCACATGGTCACCCCCAGCTCTGTCCTCTTCACTGGCCCTATTTCCACTGCCCACCCCTTGGCTGAGACTGTGCCTTCAGGCTCAGGCTTAGACCCTCTGTCCTTTCACTACATGCACATGAACACACACCTCTTAGAGACGTTCTTCTGCCCCTGGCTTCACCTGTCACCACTAGGACTGCTGAGTCCACATCTATAGCCCCGAGTACCAGGGTTACAGGTTAGCTTCCTAGTCATCTCCATTAAAATAAGATTCATCATCTTCTCCTTAACCCCCAACCTAGCAAAACCTGGAGACGTTCCCATTTCTGTAAATATGACTTAAAATTTCCCAGACACCGAGCAATGAAGTGTCAGAATCGTCTTTGACTTTTCCATCTCCCTGCAAATCCAATAGTTTACTTAGGCCTGGCTGATACAACTCAAAAAATGTTTTGCTAAATCCTGCTTTGCAGGACAGAAACATTTTTGCTAAATTCTGCCTCACAATTTCTCTGTGACATTTTATTACGAATTGAGTGCATATAGCTGGTACACTGAAAACTAGGTTTGTGTTGGCAGTTGGGAAGCCAGGACTGGCTGCCTCTCTGCCTCTAGCACCCAAGAGTGACCGTGTTCAGCTACTAAAACTCTGAGTTGCCTGGGTGGTTATGGCTCAACATGCTTCAAGCCATCAAGGAACAAGCATGGAGTCCCTCCAAAGAGAGGACCAAGACTACAGCATAAGATTTTTAAAAATAATTAAAATAATTAAAAACCCTAAAACCTTTCAGCTTATTGAAAAAGAAATCGGTGGTGTTGAACTCTTACTCTTTGGAGTTTATACACTGATGAATTTTTTAAACATATTTTTCCATCATTTTCTACATTTTAAAAAGGTCAGAGGAATCTGAAAAATGTCTTACCATCACTGCCTCGAGATGATATCGATTTCACGTCAATGGACTCTTTCCTCCTGTTCTTATATCTGAATGAATGAGGCTCTAAGGATTTCAGATTAGAAAGGGAAGGTGATTAGTTTTCCGTGTATTCACAGAAGAGATTCAAATATGTTTTTTCTTTATTCTCTAAAGAAAACAAGGTTACTTTTTAAGCACTATAAAATAATTTTAAGAACTAATCAACCACTTTCTTTTCAAATCATGAAAGACACAAAAATTATAGTCATATTAGTTAAATGATGGTTTTTTTAAATGGTGCCATGTTACATCATAGTAATATAGCTTAGTATCAAGGGTTATTTAGTTCCATGAATGTAATTTTGAAAATAAACATTAGGCTGGGTGTGGTGGCTCACGCCTGTAATCCCAGCACTTTGGGAGACCAAGGCGGGCGGGCAGATCACCTGAGGTTGAGACCAGCCTGACCAACATGGAGAAACCCTGTCTCTACTAAAAAAAAAAAAAAA